TTCCCCTTTTTGGGGAGGGGGGGGAGGAGGGGGGGGGGTTGCAGAAACAGCGTGTGCTCACTCTCCTCACTCTGCCTCCGCGGGGTGGCGGGGTCAAAGTTCAGGGCCTCGCAGGGTCACACAGCTGTTGTTGCTCCTCGCTCACAGCAGCTGTCCCCGCCGAGAGGCGGAAATGTGAGCGCGCCGCCAAACATCCCGGGCCACCCATCGGGGCGAAAGAAGACCCATCCGGCTTAACTTTCAGTGAAAAGTGCTCAAATGGACCCCCGAAATAAATGTGCGTCTGCTTTCTCCACTCCCTGAGGTGCCTTCCTCATCCCGTACCTCATCTTCCTATTTGCCTGTGGCGTTCCCGTCTTCTTCCTGGAGACGGCCCTGGGCCAGTTCACCAGCGAGGGAGGCGTAACGTGCTGGAGAAAAATCAGCCCCTTGTTTGAAGGTACGTGTGCTACAAGGAGGAGTCACTCAAAAAAAAAAAAAAAAAGCAGTGTATGAGTAAATGTAATGGAACAGAGGATATAAAATGTCGACACACCCCTTTTTATGATATTAAAAAAATAAATGAGACCAAGATCACTCATTTCAAAATATATTCCACCATTAAGAGTTTTCATGTACGTTGTAGTGTACTATTAACATATTTTTAAAATGATTAAACACTGGCTTTGTTTTACACTGGCTCCCATTTAGCTCGAGAATACATCTTAAAATTCCGCTACTGTTCTAATGGAGCCCAGAGTTCAAAGCAAACACGGTGAAGCGGAATTTTGCTGTTATGCTGCACGGAAATGGAATCAGCTGCCAACAGAAGCGAAGTCAAAATGCTTTTAAATCCGGCTTATAATTTTAAAGAATTGTTTTCTGTATTTCCTATCTTGTTCCCTGATCCATATTCTTCAGGTCTTGGCTATGGCACCCAAGTGATCGTGACCCTGCTGAACTTCTACTACATCGTGGTCCTGGCTTGGGGCATGTTCTATCTGTCTTTCTCCTTCTCCTGGGATCTGCCGTGGTCTTCCTGCAACAACTCGTGGAACACAGGTAAAAGGGGTCGTCGGACGAGTTCATTTCGTAGCAACGCTTCCGAGTGACGAATTTCTTCCCCAGAAAACTGCGTGGAGTTCCAGAGGAGAAACGCTTCCGTCAACCAAACGATCCCCCACAATGCCACATCTCCGGTCATGGAGTTCTGGGAGTGAGTTGTCAAGTTGTGATGCTGGAGCACACGTGCCGGGCTCTTGACAGGTGGACGCTTTTCTTTTTGGTCTTGACAGGAGACGAGCGCTGAGGATCTCGCCGGGCATCGAGCACATGGGCTCGCTCCACTGGGACCTGGTCCTGTGTCTGCTCATCGCCTGGGTCATGTGCTACTTCTGCATCTGGAAGGGGGTCAAATCCACAGGAAAAGTGGGTGGGAAGTGGAAAGTGTCCCTTTTATTTCTTTAGTGTTGACGAATATGCAGACACAGCTGGTGGCTTTTTTTTTTTCTCCCCTTCATCGATTTAGGTGGTCTACTTCACGGCAACCTTCCCCTATCTGATGCTTATCGTGCTGCTGGTGAGGGGACTCACCCTACCTGGTGCAGGGATCGGGATTCAGTTTTACCTCTACCCTGATTTAGGACGTCTGGCAGACCCACAGGTACCAAAACGCCACACTTGATGCGGCACTTTGTGAGTCAAAAATCCCAAACGAGAGGCTTTTGGTGTCATGCCCCCTGCTGGCGAGGATGCACCAGATGCGGGTCCCCCGTGGCTCTGCGGCAGGGGGAACCCGCTGCGTTCATCTGCGTTGGAAACCGGGACGGTAAACAGGGAGAGCGAGTTGCGGACGGGCCTCGCAGTTTTGCCCAATAGCTGTGGTCGCAGCCTGTTTTGAAACACTAGAAACTGCCGTGTTGTGCTTCCTGGAAGCTTGGTTTAATAATTATTCGAGTAAGCAAGACCAACAACATCATCCGTCTGCAATCGTCAATGATTATGCATTGGCATCCTCTGGATTATATAAGCGTTGCATGCCATGATGCATTTTGTACGGTCTTGCTATCGAATGACGTGCATTTGTATGCTTTTCCTACTTTTTAATGACTTGCCCATTATCTTTTTTTTGAAGGTATGGATGGATGCCGGGACCCAAATCTTCTTCTCCTATGCTATTTGCTTAGGCTCTTTGACAGCTCTAGGCAGCTATAACAAATACAACAACAACTGTTACAGGTAGGGTTGGATTTTTCCACTCACGCATATCAACATTTGGTATGCAAAATAAAAAAAGGAAAAATGAAGTAAATTGTCTGTGTTGCAGAGATTGCCTGGCCTTGTGCTTTCTAAACAGCGGCACCAGCTTTGTGGCTGGATTTGCAATTTTCTCCATTCTGGGCTTCATGTCTTATGAGCAGAATGTTCCCATCTCTGAGGTGGCCGAATCTGGTGAGGCTGATTAGCAACGCAGTGCCCCCAACCCCTCACCCACAAAAACAATATAAACACATTTATTTATTGAAGCCCACTTGTATGAATTCCTTAGCGCCGGTGAGAAGAAAAAAGAAAAACATTATTATTATTATTTTTTTTTTTTTACTGTCTGCAATGCGAGAGTAATTCATGACATTGATTGGTTGCCCGTTGCAGGCCCTGGTTTAGCCTTCATTGCTTACCCGCGTGCTGTGACCATGATGCCCTTCTCTCCCCTGTGGGCCGCTCTCTTCTTCATCATGATTGTTTTTCTCGGGCTGGACAGTCAGGTGAGATGACTGACTCCGCCCTTTGAATTCATGAAAGGTTCCACTGTAACAATTATTATTATTATTTTTTTTAGTTTGTGTGCGTGGAGAGCCTGGTGACCGCCATCGTCGACATGTACCCCGCCACCTTCCGCCGTAAAAACCGCCGGGAGCTTTTCCTCCTCGTTGTGGTCTTCCTCTCTTTCCTTGTGGGCCTCATTATGCTCATGGAGGTAGGGCTCGGAAAGCCTCATACAGCTCAGGGTGCAAGAGCCGCCTCTGCTGATGGTCGATATTAAAAAAAACAAACAAAAAAACGTCTGCCTTGGGTGTTTTTGCTGAGAAAAAAACACTGCACAGCTGGAAGTCTCATTTTGTATGTAAATTTAGCTTCAGTCTCTGAAATTATCATTTAGGATGTAGCTATACCTAATAACCATGGATGACTGTTTTGTCATCATACTTATTAAATGTGGCAGAATTCACAAAAGGTGCTTGATTCATGAAATTTCCCGGGGATGTCTGCTTGAAGTGAACCTTTGTGTGCGTGTTGTTTTTCACAGGGTGGCATGTACGTCTTCCAGCTCTTTGATTACTACGCTGCTAGTGGCATGTGTCTTCTCTTTATGGGCCTCTTTGAGACCGTCTGCATTGCCTGGGTCTACGGTAAGCTGCCATCAGACGGCAAAGTATTGTAAGTTATCACAACACCTCCCCCCCTTTCCTCCAAAAATGGAACTCTCCAGGTGCTGATCGCTTTTATGACAACATCGAAGACATGATCGGCTACCGTCCTGGGCCTTACATCAAGTACTGCTGGATGTTCTTCACCCCGGCCACGTGTATTGTGAGTTTCAACTTTACTGAGCTTGCAGCACAAAATATATGATGCTTTTGTGTCTACACTGAAACTCAATTACAGTGGTACCTGAGTTATGAGTTTCATTGATTGTCCCCCCCCCCAGGGTACTTTTGCCTTCTCCCTCATTAAATACACTCCGCTAAAATACAACAATGAGTATGTGTATCCGTGGTGGGGCTACGTCATTGGCTGGCTACTGGCTCTCTCCTCCATGGTCTGCATCCCACTGTGGATGGCCTATAAGATCAGCACCACACAGGGAACGTTCAGGGAGGTAATGCACTTGGGTGTTTTCAGAACGCATTAAAATACATACAGCGCACAGCGGCATCTCTTGATCGTTTCTTACAGCGCATCCAGCTGCTCATCACACCATCTGAGGACTTGCCCAAAACCAAAAGAGAGCAAGAGAGGTTGCTGGCCATTTTTGCCCCGGAGGAAGACAGCAGCAGGAATAAAAATGGCTACCATCCTGTGTCGGAGCAAGATTCAAACTTATGAAGCACAAGTGGAGCCACACTGGTGGATTTTGGTTCAGTTTTAAGAGCTGAATAGAATTAAAGTTGACAGTTGAATCACGAATAGCTTGCTTGGGAATGCAGCCCACCCTCTGTATCCAGTAGCGCTATGCGGCTCCAAAGCCCTATTTGTATGATAATATTGTATTATCATGAGGTGATTTGGCATTTTTGTCCTTTGTATTTCCAAGTATGCAATTTTATTTTATGAAATTTGATGGAAATATGCAATGTCAACAAGATTTCTGTGCTCACTGTTGTAGAACGACGACATCAATGAAGTCTCTTATTTTATACTGTGACAAATTGTCTGTACAAAGAAATTTCTAAGTGTCTTTTTAAATAAACATGTAAAATCCAAGCTGGGAGCGCATTGATTTTTGTGACAGGAATGCACAACATGAGTTAAGTTTTGTGCTGTCCTTGAATGGTAATTTTTATGAGAGAGCCGCGTGCACTGGAAAAATAAATCACAGTATGTGATTAGTTTGCTTGAAACCCTTTATTTTTGGGTTAGGATAGTGGGTCTTTTATACATGCAGGGAGAAGTGTATGCACCTTAAGGCGATGTCACATTTAATAAATGTGCACTTCTATTTTGTAAAATAAACATCAAATGACTCATCTGTCAATATATTGCGGCCTAAACACTTGTCATCATTTTCAAAAAAGAAATGACACAACTTCAACATGACGTATGCGCTCCTTTCGAAATGATGCCGTTAATCCTTCCCGATTGGCTGAAAATTCCCGCGTCACTCCCTTTTCGCACACAACGCGCCTCTGAAACGCCTCCGCCGCTTTCCCCACCCCACCCATCATGCACCGCGGCATGACTGAGGAAAGATGGCGGAAGGAGGAGCGGCCGATCTGGAAACCCAGAGAGGAGAGGTCGCGGCACTGATGAAAACGCAACTAAAAAAGGGCGACACTTGGTAAGAGTTAGCTCGGAGGATTTTCAAGAGCGCCGCGAGGGCGCCGCTGTCCTCGGCCTTGCCTGTCGACGTCACGAACGCGGAGGAAAGTGGCTAATGCGTGGCCGTGTTGACAGTTAGCTTGGAGTTAGCTGTCAGCTTCATGTGCGGCACCTCTCCTCCGCAGAGTTACATCCATTCAAATGGCGCCATTCTCGGGTTACTTTTGTCTGTCCCGACTAGTTTAGCCGACCGCTTTTTAATTCATGACAAGACCGTCGGGCGCCCCGCTTATTAATTTCGAGGTGGGCAAGCTAAAAGGTAATTCCGAAAGACCTGTCAGTGGGCTCGTCCGTCGACTTGTATAGGGCGGAGTCGGCAAACGAAGCACCTGTCCCAATCACGGAGCCAGCTGACCACATTTTGAGCAACCGGAACTCAACTCTGTGCTACCAATAAAAAACAATGTTTACCTCCTAATGGTTTAAATGGCGGTTTCTGAAATCCACCTTTGTTTAATGCATGTTTACAGTCTCACATAACAGTGATAACTGGTGTCAAATTGGACTTTTTGTCATAATTGCAGGTACCTGATAGACAGTCACTGGTTCAAACAGTGGAAGAAATATGTGGGATTTGATAGTTGGGACAAATATCAAATGGGAGACCAGAATGTCTACCCTGGACCCGTTGATAACGCCGGTCTTCTCCGAGGTAAGACAGTTGTTTAATTGCATCCCGAGACACTGAATTAACTCCGTAAGAATAGAGGCATCGTTCTGGCAACTAGCAACATTCAGCTCAGAGGAGCACAAACAGCATTGTGAAATGGGTCTTTTTTTTCTTTTCTTTTTTGCAAGGCTGATGGAATTCTCTACGGCATACCTTCTTTGTGTTTTGTGCTTATTGTCAGCTTGCTTTGTACCTTCTCTTGTTTGTCGTGCTCATCGGGCCATTCTGCATACCTGCCTCTCACTTCTTACTTTACCTCTAGATAGGGATGTTCTGGCTATCAAGGAGCACCTCATCGATGAGCTTGACTACATCTTGGTTCCCACGGAGGGCTGGAATAAGCTGGTCAGCTGGTACGGGCTGACGGAGAGTCAGGAGCCAATTGCGCGCAAGGTATGACTTGGTGAAATTGTGTTGCATGATGGTGAAATAATATCCATCTCCTTCTGAGAATGTATCTGATAGCATTAAAAAAAAAAGTTGTAAAGCACATGATATGGCTGGTCTTGTGTATTGTTCGTGTGAAACACAATCAAGAAAAATTGGAAGCGTTCCCACAATACTAAATGTATCCTTTTTTTTTTTTTTATTTCAATTTTATTTTTGGTCAGTGTACGAATGGGATTTTTTTTGCCGGTTGTAGCAAACACCTGTAGATGTGTCGGCCAAAACAACTTGGCTATTGTCAGATGGCACCTGCACATTTGGCTAGTCATGCTATCATGGCTGCCGATATGTGATCCCTCTCTCTCCCATTGACCCTCCCATTCTGCCATGTATGCGCCGGGACGTATCGGGTGGCCGGAGGGTTTCTATTTTCAGGCAACATTCTGGATGACTGAAAAGCTACATGGAGCGAGCTACGAGGCACAACATGCAGGAGGTTCATCATGCTTTTTATTTATCTCGTGCGCCTTGCGTGGACTCACCATCCCGGTTTTGTTTTTAGGGGTTTGGGGGTCACACACGAGGACTTCAGTCACGAGATTGCCGCGTCTTCTTTCGCTAGCACCGGCCACATGATTGTCCTTGTTTCGTTTGAAGCTCAGCGAGGCCTGCTGAGGTCACGTCGAGTCCGAGTGGCGTCACCGGGAAGGGGGGCGGGAGGGATAAAAGCTTTTGGCTCGGCGGTGATTTGAGGAATTCTTCTTGGCAGTGACTTTTGCTACTAGCTCACCAACACTCGGATGTCGGGCCCACTTGGAGTCTTGAGGTTTTGGACGGGGACGAGTGTGGAGGGATTGGGGTGAATATGAGCCGGTGTGTGCGTGGCTGTTGCAGTTCTGCTGGACATTTCTACTTTGCGATTTTGAACTCAAGAGCGCGTGTGTGCATGTCGTAGTCGTGCGGAGTTGAAATAAATAGGGTGGGAGCCCTCAGCTGTTTCCACAAGGTGCTGCTAATTTCGGCCTTCCGCTTTTGACTGCGCTTCACTCAGACGAGTGGCAGCCATGCCGCCAACTCCGTTACCTAAAAGAAATGCCTTCAGAACACGATCTGACCTGACAAAGAAAGGGCGGTACTTGAGTTTGCGACACACGCGGCTCAAATTTTAGTGTCACAGAATGCCGTTAAGATACTTGGAAGTACTAATTGGAGGCTTGTACATATGCCATGATGGAGGGAGGGAAAGATGTCAAGATCACACAAGTGTGCATTAAAATTTTCGCAATACTCCTACCCCCAACCCCCGTGTCGCATATCTTTACAAGGTGGTGGAGCAAGGTATGTTTGTGAAGTACTACAAGGTGGAGGTGTACCTGACTGAGCTGAAGCTATGCGATGACAGCAACATGGATAACGTGATCACCAGGCGCTTTAGCAAGGCCGACACCATCGGTAAGTCACCCGGAAGAAACTCTCCCATGTACAGCGGTGAGTCCCAATCTAAGTGCTGATCTAAATTGCAGACCTAATAGAGAAAGAGATGCGAAAGGTCTTCAGCATCCCCGATGAGAAGGAAACCAGACTTTGGAACCGCTACTTGAGCAACACCTTTGAACCTCTCAACAAGCCCGACAGCACGATCCAAGATGCCGGCCTCTACCAAGGACAGGTAGTGTGACTTTTTTGCCCATGACGCTTAAGAACTTGTCATTTGTCACCGTGAAAAATGTATTTTTGGCCTCACGGAAATTGTATTGACTAATATAGCTTTGTGAAAATATGGAAACGTATGCATTTTTTGTCAACCTTGTCAGATAGCTTGCCCTGCATTTGTGTTGACATCCAACTCACACTATAGAATTCATTTTTCTATCCTTCTCTGCCTTATTTTTTTTTTAATTGAGCGATAGGAGCCGGAGGCTTTTTTTTTTTCCCCCTCCCTCTTTTCTCCACCCGTCACCTCAGCTTGTTCCGTTGCGATGTCTCTTGCAGGTTCTCGTAATAGAGCAGAAGAACGAAGACGGCTCGTGGCCCAGAGGCTCGGACGCATCCAAGTGAGAGCAGTCCCGGCTTCTATATTGGCTTGTGAACCCAAAAGAAAAACTCTTGACGGGATAAACAAAGCTACTGAGAGTCGAGCGTACTGTAAGGCACGATAGAATCCAAATGAGATGATCTACTGTCCCCCTTGCACCTCACTCATCCTCCTGCTTGATTTGTCATTGCTGTTACATTCCCACTTTATTTTGGGTTCATCCAAGTTTGATTTATCCTACGCCTTTCTGCGGGTCCCCCTCCCTCCTCTAACTCATGATCTATTCTTTTATCTTTTTTTGAAGGTCATCCGGTGCTTCCAATCTCTCTGCTTTGCCAAAGATCTCGCCTTCATCTCTTGCAAACAATCATAGCAGCAGCTTCACCGGCAGGAAGTAAGAATTAGTAGTCGAGTTGTGTGGATGTCAGCAGCGAGTTAGAGTGCACTATTGATGATCAGTTTTGCCAAACCTGTGACCAAATTTCTTCACTGTCAGGCTGTGGATTCGGGGGGGGAGAAAATGGCGAAGGATGCACTTCCAATTGTTGGAGGTGACAGCAGGGAACAATATGATTGATTACTTTTGGGATTCAGCGACAGCGGTGCTCTCCGCGAGTGGCCTCCTGGTGCCGCTGGGCGTCGTAGTCAGCACTTTCTTGATTTCACGTGTCTGCGCATAGCCACAGTGAAGCACAGCAGGGGGACGCACGTCAAAATCGGCTAATATCACTGCAGCTATTACCTCGCCACCTCGAGCTCCAAGCTAAAATCAACACAAATTTGCAATCACAGTAAAAAGAAAATGTCACAAAACTGGTTTTGTGTTGCATTGTTAGTTCAGGAGGGGAAAAAAAACAAACTTGTGGGCATTCTGGATTTTTGAGCACCGCTGTCCTCACCTTTCTCCTGAATTGTTTTTACTGCCTGCTATTTTTTTTTTTTAAGCCAGATTTTAAACCGCTGCATCGCTAACTTTGATCCACATGCGCAGTGAAGGTGTTCGGTCACATGGGTTCATGTTGACATTTCACAGCCATGCAGCACATTCATTGATATCCAGTCCATCATTTCGTGGCTGGTGACATCTTTTCCCTGGCAGCAGGTCTTCTTTGCCACCATTGTTTCTTCTAAATTATGCATGCGGGCTCTTTTTTTCTTTTTTTTTTTTGTGGTACGTAATGGTCCAGTGTTACATAACGCTCGTCTATCCCCCCACCCCCCACTTTTGGTGCCAATGCACGGTAGCGGCATAGTGTCACTGTCATTTCTGCAACAGCTCTTCACTATGCTTTCGCTCTTCCCTCTTGTCCCAGTGAGCTCATTGCCGCGCACGTTCTCGCAGGCAAGTGACCTTCAAAGTACTCTTCGTCTACTTTGCTCTTCACATGCGGCGGAACCCCAGTGTCATTAAAAAAAAAAGGCACTTTCTTCGGCTTGTCGTTGATTTATACACACGCCCTTGCTCCCCCCCCCCTTTTTTTTTAAAAGCCCTCATAAGACAACCGCGGCATATCAAAGAGCATTTGGCAGGCAGTGCCAAAGTGTGGCTTTGACCCAGGAGGCGTGTACACGGCGAGAGTGAATGCAATGGCTTGTAAGAACATGCATCAATGTACATTTACAGGGGGCATCGGTCTCATGAAATGTGCAGCCTCAGCTGAATGCGGTCAATTGGCTCCCATCAAACCACCTCGTAGTGTCCGCCCATCCTCCGCCCACACCCCTCTCGTGCTCTCTCTCTTTTTTCTCTGTGCACCTCGAGTTTCGGTAGCGGTACTCTTGAGCATCCCTGCCGCTGCTATAAATATCTGCCGGTTGCAGTAGAGCGGCGGCAACAGCAGGCAGGCCAAAGGGAGGTGCTGGAGACCGGACCAGAGGACAGCACAGGACAGGTGGAGGAGATGATAACGAGCGCGCCAAAAAGGTGGTAGATGATTCGTTTGCTCCCGGTCGCGTCGAGGAGGCGAAGTTGTTTTGACCTTTTTTTTTAGTTGTTGGCCTGTGGTAGACTTTGGGAGTCGTCCAATCAGGCTGTTATGGACTCAATTCAAACGGGACTGCCCATGGCTGATGCTGGATTCCCATGAAGACTTGAGTTGAGAATGGAGCTGCGCTTGTACTAAGCCGGCATCTGCTTTCCCCGGACTTAAACCCGACCCGCGGGAGCCGGCCCTCATTCGCTTTCGTAGAGACATGCGAGCCGGGGTGGGTTTGAGATGTCATGCTCCTGTGTTGCTGGTGGTGCCTGAGGTCTGAAGCGGTAGAGTTGGACAGCAGGAGGGTGGACCCCCGCGCGCTGAACTGTGAGGCCGGCGCCTCCACCGCCATCGCAGCCGTTTCCCTCGACCAGTGGGAGCCCCAAACGAGCGACGCTGCCTCGCAGCCCTCTCAGAGGTCCGCTCGCTGCAGGCCTTCGTTCGTTTCAGCGCCCAGAAATGATCTCGACACTTAACTGTAGATGTAAACTGTGTGAGAATGTGTTTTCCGTGTTCATTCGTGGCTCACGGAGACAAACATGTTTTGCTTGTTCATTGCAGCGTGAAGAATTCAACCTTCAGCCTACCCTCCTACCACACCTACAGCAACAGCTACGACTACTCGGAGCAAAGTCGCCAGAGTGAGCACGCGGGCCTCTGTGGACTGTCGAACCTCGGCAACACTTGCTTCATGAACTCCGCTGTGCAGGTAACGGCGCGTCCCACAAGGGCGCACTTGAATTCAACGCGGTGAGACCTGACGAGGCGACAAAAAGGACAATGTGGCACTTGAAATGCAAATGAAGCCCACCCACCCCGTGACGCTCATTGTCCTCTGCTGCTGTCACGTCCCTCTCAGTGTTTGAGCAATATCCCTCCCCTGACGGACTACTTCCTCAAAGACAAGTACACGAGTGAGCTGAACGAGGACAATCCGCTGGGCATGAAGGGAGAGATTGCCAGAGCCTACGCCGAGCTTATAAAGCAACTGTGGTCCTGCAAATACCGCTACGTCACGCCAAGGCCTTTCAAGGTTGAACGCCACACACACACACACACGCAAAAAAAAAAAAAAGAAAAAGAGCATTGCTGTTTTTTTTTTGGGTGTGTACTACTTGACATTGGTTTCCCGAACCTCGCGACAGACCGAAGTGGGCCGCTTTGCCCCTCAATTCTCAGGCTACCAGCAGCAGGATTCTCACGAGCTGCTGGCCTTTCTCCTGGACGGTCTTCACGAGGACTTGAACCGCATCAGGAAGAAGCCGTACATCCAACTCAAGGATGCCAACGGCCGGCCCGATAAGGTGGGAGGAGGGGCGTGGGGGGCGCCCCATGCGCAGGTGGATCTCAACTTTCACACAAGGGAGCGTTGGAGATGTGTTAAAATATTTCCCGATAGGTGGTGGCCGAGGAGGCTTGGGAGAACCACATCAAGAGGAACGACTCCATAATCGTGGACATCTTTCATGGCCTTTTTAAGTCCACCTTGGTTTGTCCTGTGTGCTCCAAGGTTTCTGTGACTTTTGACCCTTTCTGTTACTTGACGCTGCCTCTCCCCATGAAGAAGGAGCGCACACTTGAGGTTTATCTAGTCAGACTGGATCCTCTGGCCAAACCCACACAGGTAACCTTCAGCGGCAGGCAAAGTCCCTCACCTCCCCTCAACATGGTCTTTCACGTGTGGGTTTTTATTTTTATTTTTTCAGTACAAACTGACCGTGCCAAAGGTGGGCTACATCTCTGACCTGTGTACCTCCCTCTCCACTTTGTCTGGGGTTCCCGCTGAGAAGGTACGGACATTCCATGGTCAAGACAAGCGGCGTGCGTCTCTTCAAACTCATTCAGTGCCAGCCATTTTCAGACCCTTCTTTACCCTACCACATTATTATTATTTTTAGAGACGTACCTGGGATTGAACGGCTGAATTCTTAAAAACATGAAAAGGCGTGTTTGGCATTGAATGAGTTAAGAGCTTGTCACATTAAAACGTGGGCTCTTTTCCACTGTCACACTGCCCCGAGAAGACATTTAATCTTTTAAAGTGTCCTTGAGCGTACAGGCTCAGTAGCACGTTGGGCCACGTTTTGCCCTTTTTGTTATTGAACCAGAAAGTGCTCTCGGTAGGACGCGGACCTCTGCCAAGGATGAATCATCCTAATTTGGCACCAAATTGCAAACCTTCTTCGAAATCAACTCTTGACATATTCCTGGATTTTGTTGGCGGGAAAAAAAAAAAAAAAGCCTCGTCATCTCACAACGTTATCACAAATGGAATGAAAGTCCTGGATCTGGACCAAAGTCTAAAATAAATTCACCTTGGCTCATGTTCCCTCCCTCCACGCATGTTGTGTGCTCATCTGGAAGGTTTTGCAAAATCTTGCCAGCAAACAACAAAATCACTCAATGATTGAAACAAGTTGCAACAACCAAATGAGCGTTTACACTTGACTTTTATTCACACACTCTTTTGTGTTCCCCGCCGACACTCCATCCACCCCCAGATGATCGTAACAGACATCTACAGACACCGTTTCCACCGGATCTTTGCCACCAACGACAACCTGACCAGCATCATGGAGAGCGACGATATCTACGTGTGAGTGTCCGATCGGCGAGTCTGGAGATAGTCGGCCCACAGACAAGTCGAGTCCTCAAAAATGAATAAACGACGCGCTACGTCGACACCTCTGTAGGTTTGAAGTCGCCGTCAACAGAGTGGAGGACACGGACCACGTTGTGATTCCCGTGCACCTGAAGGAAAAACAGTCGGGATACAACCAGAGCAACACGCCACTGTTTGGACAGCCTTTCCTCATCGCCGTGCCGAGGACGCTCAACGAGGACAAACTCTACAACATGCTGCTCCTGCGCCTTTGGTGCGTTTCTACGCCTTTTTGTCTTTAATCTCTCGAATCCGTGGCTAACACGCTATCAATAATTTCCTCACGAGCGTAAACTCATCCGGTCGCTGCGTTTAATGCCTCCCACGGCTTGTCCGTGACTCTGCACGTGGTCTCGTCCTTGCAGCCGGTTTGTGAGATCCACTCTCGCAGAAGATGACCACGACTGCGGAGACACCCAGTCAAGCAAACAACACGCGGTCAACGGCAATGCTACCAACGGCGTATTAGAGGAGGGGTCCCCAAGTGAGTCTCTTACTCACTCAACCACCCCAACCGTCCTTCCTCCACCCCCCCCCACCGTCTTCATTTCGAATTCTCTTCCTTCAGGCGCGATGGAAACCGATGAGCAGGACGACGAGTCCAGTCAGGATCAAGAGCTGCCCTCCGAGAACGAGCACAGCCAGTCCGAGGACTCGGTGGGCGGGGACAACGAGCTGGAGAACGGCATGGTGACCTCGCAGAACTCCACCAAAGGCCAGCAGAGCGGCGGGCACGGCAAAAAGAGACTTTTCACATTCCAGCTCAACAACACGGAAAAGACGGACTTCTCGCTCACCAAGGAGGACGCCAGACAGATCCGCTTCGATGACGGACACTTACGGCTCAATGGTCGGACGTGTGGAGCGGCGTGGCTTCAATTAACGTTCCCATCTTACGCTCACATCGCGCATCCTTGTTTCGTAATTAGTCATTGAAGTCTGTCCTTCCTCTTCCAGAACGGTCTTATCTCTCTTTGGATTGGGAACCCGAGATGAAGAAAAAGTACTTTGACAGCATGGTTGTTGAGGTAAATAAAGCCCGCCTCACAATCGGCGAAAACCTGACGTACGTTATCCGACCGTTATTTACCTTGCGGCAAAGTTCCCGGTATTCCTGTCGAGTCCCGCCCCCAGTCGGATTCTGGGCCCATAACCCGTTGGCAAAGTCGTACGACTCTTTCCAAGATCGTCAAACCAATAATACATTAATATTGCTCGAACAACCCGAGAAATAACTCCGCGCACCCCGCCCGCCTCTCTTGACAGTGTGGACGAAGTAAGAACTTTTAATCCAAAGCAACAAAGAATCCGCGGTTATGTCAGCGACATGCATCACAAAGCAGGCACAGATGTCTTTTAACATACATGTCCATTTTCTGCAGGACTTTGACAGGCACGAGAGCATGGAGTACAAACCCCAGAAAAAGGCCTACTTCAAGCTAAAGGACTGCATCGAACTGTTCACCACCAAGGAGAAGCTGGGAGCCGAGGACCCTTGGTCAGCACGTTACGTTTGTTCCTGTCAGCTTTGACTTTGGAGTCTCTGTCGCTTGAATATTCCCGAGATGGAAAGCTTGAATGTGATGCGTCTCTCCAGGTACTGCCCAAACTGTAAGCAGCACCAGCAGGCCACAAAGAAGCTGGACTTGTGGTCTCTGCCTCCAGTGCTTGTGGTCCATCTGAAAAGATTCTCCTACAGTCGCTACATGAGGGATAAGCTGGACTCCCTCGTTGACTTCCCGCTCAGGTATACGTCGTCCATTCAGCCGACACCTCGTCTTTGGGCCACACGGGCCGATAGTTGACGCGTTTTTTCCGATGCGCTGTCCCGGCAGCGATCTGGACATGTCGGAGTTCCTGATTAACCCCAACAGCGGACCGTGTCGTTACGACCTCATCGCCGTGTCCAACCACTACGGCGGCATGGGCGGGGGCCACTGTAAGCGTCGCTTCTCCGCGCAAGCCGTCACATGTGCACTCTTGTTTCACGGCGAGGCATCCGCGTCCAAATTCCAGCACCGTGCGCATCTGCCGCTTTTTGACCGCCGCGAGGTTTTAATGTGCCGTCTTTCTCCTCGCTGTTTAGATACCGCTTACGCCAAGAACGCAGATGATGGAAAGTGGTACAACTTTGATGACAGCAGCGTGTCGCCTGCCAGCGAGAATCAAATCGTGGTGAGTCTGCTCATGCCTGTCCTGTTACGGACACCCAGTGGAAACATAATCACAATGCCAGAGATCTCTCTCTAAACTGCCCAAATTGTGTATACTTGACGATTTGGGTTGGATGCGCAACATTAGCGAAAAACGTGAGCTCAGCACAAGTGAAATGGGCTGTTCGAGTTTCCGCGTGGTGCCGCTAAATGATGCTTGCGGAGCCATGCCATTAAGTCCCGTTTAAGCTGAGCACAGTGGAAGTGTGCTAACGTGAGCACACTGACATGGCGTCAAACGGGTTTTCAAACGGACGGCCACTTCTTATATGCGTTTCCAAAAAACAAAACTTCAGTTTAGAAGTACGGCGGAGTCACGAATTTTGAACCACGTCGTCGCAGTAGGTGGTGATATCCTCATGGCTCCACTGTGCTCATGTCCAGTCCAAAGCGGGCTACGTGCTCTTCTACCAGCGCCAGGATACCGTCAAAGGCACCGGCTACTTCGCTCTTGACCGGGAGGAAGAGGAGGAGGAGGAGGATGATGATGAAGAGGAGGAGGAGGAAGAAGAAGAAGTGGAGGCCGACGAGGAGAATGAAGGGAGACGGAGCACTTCCTCAGTTCGGGGCGCAGCCTCTCCTGCTGCCGCAGCGAGCGACGACCCCAACGAGAACCGGTGCGGTAAGAGCGACAATGAGTCGGAAAACGAGGAGGGAGAGGATGTGGCCGGTCGGGATGTTACCATGAGCACCAACTGACAAGCGATGTCGCAAACGAGCGGAGCGGGCGAGAAGACCCGAGAGAGATAGGAATCTTTCCATCCAAAGCCATATGGACGCACAGCGTGGCAAGCCGGCGCCATCGGGCCCACCCGGGCGTTCGCCAGGTGGAGCCAAAGTCGGCGCGGTGTTAGCGGTACGCTGAGAATTCGGAGCCCTCGTTTGTGGCCGAATCACTGTTTGTGTGTGCGCGTGAGTGCGTGTCACCTGTTGCTTTTGTGTATCTCAAGGAGTTTGCGGCCGTTTGGATTGGGATTCCCATGGCGAGTGTTTTATATCTCAGAGAGAGTTCGAGTTACGATTTTAGTATGTTTAGTTTGTACATATTTTAAAACACTCAGCAGTCTGTTGTCATTCTGCGCTGAGGCGTCGTGAACTTGCACAGTCACCAACGATCCACTTTTTTTTCTTTCTTTTTTTTTTTTTTTGTTAAATATTGCCAAACACTGCAGTAGTTCAGAGATGAATGTGAAGTGACTTTTCTCTGATAAACCCCAACATGTCTGTCTTGGTCACACATCTCAAGTCTGGACGCTTTGTTGATTTTTTTTATTTTTTATTTTTAGTTATTTATTTTTAAAAAAAAATGTTGATCATTAAATGCCAAACTTGTGAAGAGCTTTGGTCTGCTGCTCTTTTGCTGTGACCTTGGTTTCATGTCCAGCTTTCTTTGGCGCCCTCTGTTGGCCGTTTATCACCTATCTCCCCCCCACCCCCCCATCTTTTGTGCTCAATTAAGACCTTCCAAAATGAGGTGCCATAAGATCTCCAAATCATTGAGGAATGGTGTCTTTAATAGCCTGCTATGCATTTTAGCATGAGCTCCATCTTCTTAGATAATGACAAAAGTGTGTACTCAGCCTTAACTCTTAAATTTCACACACTTCTCCCCCCTGCCTGCCCCCCCCTTTTTTTTTTTTTTTGCATGGGCCCTTTAAACACTCTTGAATGTCAACATAGTTTAAGGTCTGCTTGCCATATCACAGCCACATTTTCTCCTTTTTTTATTTACTGGTAATTTTATTTTTTTTTTGTAATCTACACAAGGGCCAGAATGTATGCACAGTGAGCACTGACCACACGTATGTGATTGCCTTTTTTTTTTCCTCTTTAGATTTTCAAAAGGGCCTCATTTTTGTTGTTTTTCTTTTCCGGTTTGGTTGAATGTGAAGGTGACGGCGTCTCCCGCCTTTTGGCTGAATGCGTCCCTCTCCATGAAGGGTGACACGTTTCTTGTTGCGCTCCTTAGTTGAAGTTTGAGGGTGAGTTCGGGCTAAAAAGACCCTTTCAGCATTCGGAATCACGATCAAGTTGAGTTCTTTTGTGGGAGATTGTTGCAGGATATTTCTCCACTGGTGATGGATTTATTCTCCATGGTGGAGTGTGGCTATTTTTTTTTTCTCAGCTGACGGCCCTTTACTTTTTTTTTTTTTTTCAAAAGCATCTCCGTGCTTCTTGCCTTGCTTTTCAAAAGAGACCGCTGCAATGGACTTGTACTGTACATAAGAGTTCACTCTATGAGTGCAGATTTGATAATTTTATTTATATGTAAGGATTTAATAAGGAAGCATATTTAAAATCCTGGCAAGAGCGGAGAGATTGGGAACGGACACGGTGAGCTAGTGGTGCCTGTGCTCTTGTCACGGAGGGATTTTTGTTTTTGTTTTTTTTAAATAAAAGGATAGCTCTGTTGTTTTTGGGACTTTGTTTTGTACAAAAGAAATAATCCAGTCATCCGTTGCATGATAAGGGGTTTCCAGGTTTGGCTGCACTTGAGTTCACTTGGGTTTACATTTTTGAAATGTACACGTGTATTTATACACAATCTTCAATAAAGTTGTGGAAAGTTTTCCAGGTCCTTTTCTTCACCTGTGCCCGGGACGTGTCTGGCGTGTGTGCAAGTGGCAAAAAGAATCACAGATGGACCGTCGTTTACTGCTGGTTTAAAAGTAAGGCAAGGAAAACCTTTTTTTTTTTTTTTTTAATAATTTTTTATTCGTACCACCCCTCGCAACAATAGCGTTGCACAATTAAGTAAACATTAAAATAATGTATTATTTTGGGGCAGGGGGGACTTTTGGAGGAACCTTATACAAAAGGTACAGTCGACATTCACAAAGCAGGAAAATCACGAGGCCACTTCAATCCCCACTCGTGGCTTTTTTTTTTTTTTTTGCTAGAAGTAGAATCCCCTGCCAAAAAAAAGCATTTACATTCATCTAATGGACAGAAATGAAGGCTGAATGACAAGTCAAGCGAGGATGAACATTCAACATGAGCCCTGGCGTGATCAGAGGATACAGTAACACGCTTTGGATGACCAACAACAGCACACAAAGTGCAGAATATGAATTCTATTCAAACACGTTTCTCATGGAATGTACAGGAGGAAAGATGCGGGTAGCCGATAAAATTTCAGGACATTGAACTTCCTCATTTTTCCCTCCGCACATCTTTTTAGATTCACTCGCTACCACCCCTTCCCCGGTATCATGGTGCCTTTTTCTCCTTCATTTTGGAATCAAGACATGAAGCAAAACTCCCAAATATTTGAAATTGAACGCCGTCACCATCACAACCAACGCTAAACAATGACTCCATTTCGCCGTATCGCAACGTACACGGGAATACAAATTCAGGCCATTCAGGCGAAACGATGCATGCACAAAACAGAGGCATTTTCTATCTTTTTTTTTTTCCTCTTCTCGACGTACTTTTGAAGTGACGCGGGTCGAATTAAAGTGCAATTAAGTCGTTTTCATTGTCGTGCGTTCAGCCAACTCAACACGTAACATGATCCTAATTTTCAGGGAACTGTTGATGCTTTAACCCTTTCAGGCACGGCAGTTACGACAGTGGACAGCTTATCGCATTTTCAGGTTACAGGGTGTATGAAAGGGTTAAGCCGCTTTTTGATTTATCAGAACACATTTTTCAATGCGTATCCATGCAAGTAATGCACGGACGCATGGTTTTTTTTTTTGTTGTTTTTTTTAACCAGGCTGCTTCAATCAGAAAGTCGGACGCATGGTTTTTTTTTTGTTGTTTTTTTTAACCAGGCTGCTTCAATCAGAAAGTAAGTCCTTGAAAGCTACACTGTATCAGAAAAAAAAGCCTTAGCTTCTATTTTACGGGTATTTTATGAGCACCTAAAAAGACGCTAGGGACTCAATAGAGACACCTGACTTAACCGTCTCTGCCTAGAATGTGTCCCAGAACTTAAGTCCATATTGTTGTCGCTGCAGTCTCTTGGGTTATAATGCTGCTTACGTCATCAAGAGGCAACAGTGAGTCTCTGTCGCCCATTTTTGTGGCCCTAACAGGACAATGAGCTCCTGTTTGCAGCGCAATTTTTTTTTCCTTTTGGCTTATCACTCCCAACAGAAACATGTGCAAAAAGGATCCGGGGACGAGGGGCGGGGAACTTTTGAAAGGTGCGCCATGAGCCGCTTAGGGCTGACGATTGCCGTACATCAGCGGGATGATGAAGACGGAGATGTCGTCCCCGGAGCCTAGGCGCTCGTTGGTGATCCTCCAGCCTCGATCCCTGAGCACGCCGCGGGCTCGCATCACCAAATCTTGCGCTGCCATTGTATATCTAACCACGAGGTCGTGAGAGAATGACATTTGTAAGTCGAATAATACATCTCCTGCTTGGAAAAAAAGTCCCAACCTGTGAAGGTCGTCTGGATCACAGTTAGCGAGGAAAGTGGAAACGGCCTCGGCGACTTCCTGGTTGGACAGGACGTCCCAGAGGCCATCAGTGCCCATCACCAGGACGTCGTCTGCGCCGTGCTCGTACTGCGTGAGGTTGTACACCTTCACCTGTGTTTGAGGCAAGTCGCGTGTTTCGTTTTTGGTGCCGAGCTGAATGAAATTGCACTTGTTTCCCCAACAGCGCTCACTTCAGGGAGGCAGGACAGGAAGGGCTTGATGTAAATGTTGGAGTCGTGAACTTTGAGGTCGTGGTCGCCGAGCCCGCGCGTCACGCCGATGGTCGCCAACACCCGAGCCTGGGAAACCAAACCGCCGTTGCCTCAGTCGGAACTTAAGTGTGAAGTCTTGAGAGTGCGGCGTTCATCCAACCTTTTTCCCCTCCCCGTATATTAGCGGAAATTTGAGATCTTCGTCCTCGATGGTCTTGTACGCCCTGTTTTTAAAAGACGAGCCAAGATGTGAGTATGACACATACTGTGCAGTTTGCGAGAAAAGCCTGCGAATGCCTTTTTTTTCCCCAGTGTTGTTGCTCATAAAAATAGATCTAATCAAGGAATTGAGATATTTTTTCCTCGCAGGTTTACACGCGACTTGTCCATTTTGACCAGTCAATGTGGCACCGTTGGCTCGTGTGCAGATGCGAGGACGCGGCGGCCTACCATCCGTTCATGGTGAAGTCCCTGTAGAGCATCCTCTTCCCGACCTCCTTCCGCTGGACCCTGCGTGGGAACTCCAGGTGTGTGAACTCGTTCCCCAACAGGTGTGGCTGCATGAAACCCTGCAGATGCACAAACCCGCCACCGTTTTTTTCTTTTTTTAATGTGGGCGGGGACTTGGATTGCAAAAACGGATATAAAAAGCAGGCGTAAGCCATCATGACTGAGCACAAAACTGAATCCCTCTATGAAAAATAATCTCAAGCTTCCCTAAATAGTTTTTTTTAACCATTAAAATGTTATAATTTCAAACAAAAAAAAAAGATTAGTCCAAAAGCAACTTAATGATATTGAACATCTTTGAATTCTGAGCTATTACAAGACAAATTCTTGCTTTATTCATCCATTAAAAAAAAAAAAAAAATTGTACCAAGAATTGTAGTCTCTGTCGTTCAGATTCCGGCGTGAATTCCGTTGACATTGGAACGATCTCATTGTTCCTGATGATGATGGCCCTGTCAATCGGACAGAAAGTCCACAAGTGAGACGGAAACGTGCGCACGTTTCAATGAGAGCGAGGATGCACGGACCTGCTGTCGCCTGCGTTGCCGACGTACAGCTTCCCCAACATGTAGACCACCGTGAGAGCTGTGCATCCTCCTGTGATGTTGTAGCCCTGCTTCTCCCTCTCAATTTGCGCATCCTGCAAATACAAAAACAGCGGGTGGAGTTTTACTAGCATGGGGATTCAAGTTCAAATATGTCCAAACTTCCCGCCCCGCCGCCAGATAGACACAAATATTTCTTTATGGTAATGCTAATATTATAAAACAGTGATGGGAGAGCCTACCATCTCTTTGAAAGCGTTCTCCATGGCTCCGATCACCAAACTCTCGTGCTGGATCTTCTTCTCGGCAAAGAAGCGCGGCGGCGGCGGCGTGCTGCTGGGCGAGCCCGGCGCCCCGGTCGCACCCCGCAGCGACGCCGCCCTGGTCAGGGAGCGCTGGTGGTGGCCCGGCGTGTTGCCCGGCAGGCAGGGGTTACCGTCGGGCTCCTCGCCCAGGACGGTGGGCGGCAGGGAGGCCAGATTGTGCAGGATCTCCATGACGGCCTGTAGCTGACAGGCGATGTGGTGCTGGAGCAGGCGGGAGGCCACGACGGCCGCGCCGGAACCGGCGTGGCCGTCGAACAAGGCCCAGTAGTGGAACACTAGTCCCTCGTTGTCCTGGAAACACAAAATAGTGTCTCCATCAATAGATATAATGCACTACATTAAAAATGAATTTATATCATTTTAAAAACTGCAGGAATGCATGCATACATGCATGTATCCCTGGCCATACCTCCCCAAGCTTGCTGTGCTCCAAGCGCAGACCTGGGCCTTCGCCATTGGGCAGGGAGTTGCGCCTCTTGGCCGTGGGGGTCTTGCTGGGCGTCGGGGGCGGGCAGTAGCTAATAGGCCGCCGCCTCACCACCACCACCTCGCAGCACGCCTGGTCCTCGTTCAGAGCGCTCTTTCCAGCATTAATCACTCTGAAGGAAGTACATAAATATATATAAAGAGGTAACTTTTGCATGAAAAAAATGTAGCCAATGAAGTGTCCCCCACGCCCCCGCCCAAAAAAAAAAAAAAAGTGTGTGTGTGTGTGGAGGGGGGCATCAAAGTGAGCCCCGCTTGCCTATCAGACATCTCTGGAGGGTGTGTGAGAGAAATTAGCATGACTATTTTTAGACCCCCGACTGTGGGTTGTTTTGTGCACGGCAGCATCTGACTCGCAGATCCACGGGCTGATGCGACAGTATATGCGCGATTATATAATGTCAACACGTTACAATTCCAAGCCTCAATCGTGAAGCTTACGGATATCATCATGTGTGTTCACAGTTTGCCGAACGCTTCCGATGCATTTGGCTGAAAAAAGGAACACTTTTGCCTTTCTTCTCAATTGGCATGAAGGTCTCATTTTCCCCTTCAGGTGTCACAAATGTAGCGTGCCGTTAGTTTCGCTGCAGTCCTGCACACATCTGCCTGACTCATCCTGGATCAGCAGATGTGGTCTTGAAACAGAATACTATTGGTGGTCCGTCTTCATTTTTTTCATCTCATTTTACCGTGACTCTGAGCAAAAAAAATGTTTTTTTCATTTTAGGGGGGGCTACCATTAAAACAAAAAATTACAAATGTAATTTTTCTGCGGTTGTTGGTCTTTTTATTTGTTGGTTTGGACATTTTAATTTGAATTTTTTTTCTGCTATATTTTTTTGTATAATGTATTTGTTTTAATCCAATCGAAGAATTGACTCTCCTGCCACCTGCTGGTGAGGAATGCAGTGTTCACAAACGGTTGACCTTTTGGCCAACTTCAAGCGTAAAACACCCGGAGCTAGGACATGATAAACTCTTAGTTGCTTTGTATGCGACAAAATAATCAATTGTGTCTGACAATTATTCACCAACGCATAATTTTAAACTCAAACAGCGAATGCCTGCCCTGTATAGTCCCTTGTAAATACGAGAAAAAAAAAAGATAATTGAGACTTTCTGCTTTCCAAGCCACTTGTGCAGTTTACTGCAACGTGCACGCCAAATGACGTGCACTGGTGGCGAAGGGTGACGCCTCGAGGCTCACAACAGGTGTAGCTCGGAGGTCTGCGCATGCGCACCATGTGGATTATTGTTATGATGCCCCCCCAAAAAGCAAAGCCCGAGACCCACTTGCCCTCGGAACGGCGCGCCGGTGACTTACTCGGCGTATCCGGTGGCCCACGGTAATCTCCTGGTCTCCTTCAGGATGAGGATGGGCCGAGCAATGTGATCCGCCGAGCACTCGATCTCATCCGGGGAGAGCCCGAGGAACTCCGGCCTCATATAGGGGAATTTGAGCGGCAGATCCGAACCGGGGCTGCCTCCTCCGCCGGAACCGCCGCCGGTCATGATTCCCCCCATGAAGCCGGCCACGGCCGACTTGACCCGAGTCAGCATGTTGGTGGTGCGCCGCGGCGGAGTGTCGGGCGGCCGATGCGCGGCGCCGCGGCTCCCTTTCCCCGGATTGCCCCCCAGCTCGGCCGCGCTGCTCGACGACAGGGCTCGACGGCACAACGAGAAGCCGCGCGCGCGCTCGCTCGCTCGGTCAATGCCGCATCGATGGCGGCTCGCGCCGGGGAGTGGTGGGGAGGAATAGTGGCTAGGATGGCTTAGGCAAAGCCGGGCGCACCTCCATGCAGAGCCGGAGACAGCATCCCGGGCGTCGGGAACGCGGAATTAGTGGGTCACGTGACGCCCCCGTAAACCCACGCTGCAAGAAATGCACCCTCTGCTTTTATTTACGTCATACGTCAAAAGACGTATACGTGTAATTGCGGGTTCGTTTAAAAATGCATCACAACTACAGCATGCAGGGGCAGCCAAAAAACTTGAATTGCACCCGAGCCGAGTTCAAAAGGTTTCTGCCAGGTTTTGGGATTCAAAAAAGGTTTTCGATGCCAGTGCTAGCTCGCGTTTCAAGTCTGTTGTTGTTACATGTCATGCCTTTTTTTCCTTCCTCCATTCAAACCTTGCTCCATCCCTTTTTCTTAGTTCCTTAAAACATCCTTTCCGTGTATATCATTATCTTCATTCTTACTGTCTTACGTTTCACATTTCCTTACGTCCTTTGCCCCTCCCTTTTACTTTCCTTCCTTTTGTTTTGTCCCTAGCATCCTATTTTTCACCCATCTTTCCATCCTTTTTTTAAATCTCCTATTCCCTCCCAGTTTGCCCCCCCCCAAAAAAACTACTCACCAAGGTCTTGTAAAAATATCAATGCCAAAATCAAGTTCTTGCGCTCTACGTTTTGTCCCTAGCATCCTATTTTTTACCCATCCTTCCATCCTTTTTTTTTAACTCCCATTCCCTCCCAGTTTGCTTCCCCCCCCCAAAAAAATTACTCACCAAGGTCTTGTAGAAATATCAATGCCAAAATCAAGTTCTTGCGCTCTACGTTCGTTTAGTAATTTTCCAAAGCTACTTTTTTTCCCCCTAACTACTTTTTTGTGCGCCAATCTAACTCGCAAAACGGTCAACATTGTGATTAAATGTACAACGGTTCTCAATTTTAACGGGCATTATTCCAAATTCAGTTCGTTTTCGCTCACTGACGCGCGCGCCAAGCTACTTTTTTTCCCCTAACTACTTTTTTTGTGCACCAATATAACTCGCAAAAGGTCAACATTGTTATTAAATGTACAACGGTTATCATTTTTAACGGTCATTATTCCAAATTCAGTTCGTTTTCGCTCACTGACGCGCGCGCAAGTACCGGTTATGTGTGGGCGACACTTTTTGCAGCGTGCAGGGGATGAGCGCTTCTTCACAGCAGCTGACAGACAGCAGGTTCGGAATAAATCCTCCCCGTCGATGCCGCATAGAGACGCAACCGACCATCTGAGTGCGTGATGCACCGTGAGCACCA